TGGTGTACAAAATCCAAGACAGATGGAACTTCTGGGAAGTGAAAAGAAGGGCCGACAGGAAGAAGCGGGAGGAGGCCCTGGGCCTTGCTGAAAGCTGCCATTTAATGTATCCTTGCGCCTAACAAACTGGCCACCATAAAATAGGACCAGAAAATATTTGGTAATAATTAAATGAATGGCACGAAGGCCTGCCATGTCGAGGTATGAGGCCAGAAAGGGGTGTTTGACTCAGAGCTCTCCTTTATAAACAACTCTAAGTAAGATTTCTTTGGACGTTCAGCAGGAGCTGAGAGCACCCCAGTAGGTTAATGTGATCAAAAATGACTTGTAAGGTTCTCTCCATGAGGGCTTAGAGAAAAACAGCCTCATTCTGGTAAAAATCTGTTCCATAAAGAAACTTTTACTTTGACCTATGAATTTCATTTTGTGAGGTTTTTTGTTGGTTTGTTTTTTACTGTATGTATCCTCAATTCCATAACTTTCCCAAAGATTGTAACTGTGCTTCCTAAGATTTGGGAAAAAAACATCATTTCTCATGGATTTCTGTAGCATATCTAACCATGCCATTTCAAAAGAATCTCCTAAGCATCAAGAAACAAAAGAAAATAAAGAACATTCAGATACACTCAAAATAGCCAAACATATACTTCTGACAGGCCTGGTAATCACTATGTTTCTAAGGCCTCTATATTCACATGTCATGGAAGATGCTGCCCTTCTCCTTTTGGGTCATCTGGTTTACCGGCACTGTACAAATGGACTGCAACTGCAGCTTACTTAAAACTTGGAACGCTTTCTTTTCTGTTCCTATAAATGTTTCGCTGCTTCAATCAAGCTATTTCTACACAATCACTTTAGTCTTACACTAAATTAGATAGTGCCTATGACCATCATGAATGAAATTCCAGAGGATCACAATCTATCAATTTATATGAAATTGGATTTTTTTTTTAAGGAGATATTTTCCCAGTAAAGTAACTGAGGCTCGGCCAGGGGCAGCCAGTCACATGGCTATACCCTGGACCTCAGCACCTGGAAACCAGAATGGCTTACACTCTATGTTTACTTCCTCGCTCTATGATCTTCATAGCCAATGAAAATGCTACCTCTTCAAAAATATGAAATACACACACACACACACACACACACACACACATTCAATGAGCAAGAAATTCCTCCCTTAAACTTCACATTTCCGAGGAGGGTTCAATAGTGCTTCTGTCCCTTGAGGTAAAACAGAATACAGCAGGAAAATCCAGGTAAATTAGATAAGTAGAATTGTACTTAATCTGAGGGGCTCAGAGTGAGAGGGCTGCTTGTACAAGTGTTGATGTGATCATTCCAAGCACATTTGCAAAGGGATCAGCTGATCTAACGTCAGGAAAAAGCTGGAAAATTTCTAGCTCTCCCACAAACTTAGAACTTTTCAATCCTCGACATGCCCGCAATAAAATAACCTGCATCCAGGTTGGTGGATCCCCACATCCACCCAAAGACTACAGAGAAACTGTCAAGATGAAGATTCAAGGCATAGCTACTCCCACAAAGAGCTGTAACTCTCACTTCCATTCCCAACAGCCGGAAAAGCTGGTGACAGCAGGACCTAGGGGAGTGACCACAGCAAAGTCCACCACAGGAAGTGGCACCAAGGAAAGTGTCCCATCAATGATTTCAGAGAGGAAAATAATAATTTTATAAAAATCAGCACTGTGTGATTTTTTTATGTAATGCGAAATAACAAAGTAAGAGACAACAATAAAACACGAAAGTTTGGTCACTTTTCTAAACTTGGTGCTATTACTGGTTTTACTCAATATTTTCATAAGAGAACTGAAAATTTTCCAAAGACATTAAGATTTTTTTTTTTGTCTTTTTTCATTTTTATCGGTACCGGGGATCGAACTCACGACTGCCTGCTTACGAGGCAGGTGCTTATGCCGCTGAGCTAAATCCCCAGCCCAAGACATTAAGATTTAAAGGAAACAAGTATATGTCTGTGTGAATGAAACTCAAGTACTTAGTAAAGTCTTTTTGGATAAAGCCAAAGTTCTTTGTGAATTCTTTTTGGATGGACAAATAAAAATATGTTTCAAAAGTAAGAAAAGACATGTAGAAAGCATGTAAATATACAGATAGTACATAACATATGTTTATGATAATGGGCATAGTAATACAGTGTGAAAAGATCTAAGAACGCCATGAAATAGCCAGTGATGATATCAACTAAAAGAGTCCTGCAAACAAAAACAGTAGGCTTCATCAATAGGAATATCCGAACTACAAGAACAGATATTCCATCCTGTAAAAGAATTTTATAATGTGCAGGTAACTAGAGTATTAAATATAGTTCTTATTCCTGTACCTCAGGAAAGTTTAACAGGCTAAAAATCAATAGATACGCATGTTTATATAAATGTATATCACACAGAATTATTGGCATTATTATCACAGGCAAATAAAATTCTATCATGTAGCCAAGTGTGGTGGCACATGCCTGCAATCCCAGCATTCAAAAAGCTGAGGCAGGAGGATCATAATGAGTCTGAGGCTAGCCTGGGCTCCATATTGAGTTCATGGCCAGTCTGTACCTGGCTCAAAAACAAATAAGTATAAATAATAAAATTCTATCATGTAAAGAAAAAAGGATAAAACTCTTTAAGACTGTAAAAATGAAAACTTGGAGAATCTATTAATAGTTATCTTAATAACAAAATAAAACATATATGATAAATGAGTCCTTTTTAATCCATGCTCGCTATATTCTAAACAATGCCCTAATTAGTTTATCCTCTGCAAAATCTCTTCCCGTGCCCTTCCAGATACACAGCAATTCCGTGATCTGTTCCACATCACGCAGTTAGGAAATAGAGGATCCGAGATTAAAATCCAGACCCTCTGACTTCGAGGGTGTGCACTTAATCACTGCATGAGAAACACAAAGCTAACTTTTACCGTCAAGATGTCTTAGGGAACCACTTAAATGGAAACTAGCTAGGTTTGAAATAAATAAAAGTAAGTATAAAATGAATTAAAAACCTTGAAAACAGAAAGCAAAATTTCTGAATCCTAAGAAACAAAACACATTAAAACATGAAAAGAGAATCAGGGAGGCCAGGAGTCACAGAGAGCGGCCCGAATCAAGGAGGAAGGAGGTCGAGGGGGCCATCTCTGAGGTGGGTCAGAGCCCCCCACGGGCTAAGCCTGGTGACAACAGCATAGCAGCAGAGCAGGGTGCCTCTGGCCTCCCCTCCGTGGGTCCAGTGCCCACAGTGTGCAAATGCCAGTCCTTCCTGCCTGCCTCTGTGAGGAGTCACAAACATCCACAGAGCAGAGGACCCGTCTCACTCATGACAGTATTGACCAGCTCAGTACCACACACAGGGCCCTTGGTACACGGATTCCAATTACTATGATCCCATTTCACAACTTAGCACACTATTAGGACCTGCTTAGAGGAATAAAAGTGTGTTTTTTATCTACTTTTTTACTCATTGCTGCTAAGAATTTGACTGAATATATGACACTTTGAAGCAGGAATCTCAGCAGATCATTCTTTACAGAAGCACCAAACCGGAGCTGAGTAGCTGTTTATTTTACTGAGGCTTCTGACCTAGAATGTTCTGTTTGGAGCTGGGTGGGATGTGGCCATCCTAAGGGTCTTTCTTCACACAATCCACCCTATAGAATCCAGGGGAGCTTTGTTTTGCTAACTTCTTGCTGCTGTTGCTCAAGTTATCCAAGCATCTGGTGTGGTGTATAATCCTCATCTTCTTCCAGACATTAGTTACCTAAAAAAGGAATATCAAACACCATCTCTCCTCCTCCGCCCACTGCCTTCTTCCCGAGAGTTTAAGTCTACATGGAGACTTGGATTCAATGGCCTGCCTGGGCTTGTCTTTATTATTATATCTGTTATCCATTATGGAGAGCAGAGTGTGTCCCTTGCTGTGAAAATTGTGTACTTTAAAATCATGCCATTGTGTTTTCTATTCTCCTAAACACAAACACTCAAAAAGTGGTTGAGACCAATGCTGGGGAAAGAGTGGCTTTTGAGGGTTTTCGAAGAGCTAGGTCACCTAGAACCCTGGGTTAAAATAGGGAGAGCGTGGGGAGAAACATAGTTATTCCACAGACCCAGGAACAGCAAATAAAACTGAATCCAGGGAAAAGTACAGTAGTAGAAATCAAACTCTCAAAAAGCTAATCATCACAGTAATAACATTCACTTTTTTTTCTCTAAGCCACCATTTGCAGCTACAAATTTAATTTACTTTTCAGATAACAGTGCTGTCATTCACAAATGTCCAGGACAATGACATGACTTTACATGAGAAGCCACAGCTGGTCCTTGATGAGACCCTTCTTCACTGCCCAGTTTCCCTATGGAAAGCATATGCCTTCTCATCTCCACCCCAAAGCCCACTGCTTATATTTATTGTATATAACAAAGATCCTACTCTTCCTTAGTTTTTACCTATTTTCTCCGTGAGATGGACAGGATGGAGATCAGGTCCACAGATCACTAATGCACTCACTGACCACTGCACCTTACATATAATAGGTTTGTGTCTCTCATTCTTAACTTTTAATCTAAAAAAACCCATCTCCTCCCAGACTTAACTACAGTTAGCCTCCCAGCTCACACCCAGTCTTGCAGAATAGTCTGTTAGAAATACAACAGTAGAAGTAGGATACATGCACATTAAGAACTGATAAGAAGTGCCACATGTTAATGGATTATTGTAATGCAGTCCAACCCCAATGCGTGGCTATTAGTATTGAATATCCTGTCTATTTCAAATATAATCTGAAAACAGGTTTTCACTGTTAGCCACTTAGCCTTGGCACATTTTTATTAGAATGAGACAAGAGCTTTGAAAAACTCAAAGATTCTAAAGCTCAGTGCCTAATAAAGTTATTTAAGTGATTATTCAAACTCAGCAAGCTTTCCTAGATGAAGATTCTTAATCAATTAGTCTTTTTCATGTTTATAAACTCACCGTACAGCAAAGAGGAGAGTTGCTTCATGAACTTCTCCAAAGCAGACATATAAAAAGTAAAATCATGCTTCCCTTTTCCCTGCTGGTACTTAGATACTTCATAAAGAATAATAAAAAGCTTTTCTGTAAGTATTTTGGTAAATAATATTTTAATTCTTAGCTTCATACCTCTTGCAGAAGCTCCCCTTTTTCATCATTCATCTCAACACTTTTTATTAAAGTCAGCTTTGGAAACCACATCTCCAAGCACTCTCACCACATGGATTTATATGTGTGCCTCCACAAAGACATCAGGTGATGAATCCCAGTGAGTCCCTTTCCAGAGGGAGCTAGCAGGTAATGAAAGACAAACATCTGACTCTAATGTGTCATGCCCACAGCAGTGTGCTAGAAAGGCCCTAGAAGCATCGAATAACGAATGCTCATTTATGCCTCACTCCCTGCAAATAAAGGCCATGCAAAGCTGAAAATAGTGTTGATTGACTTTTTTCCTCCAACCTACTAAATTTTTGTTGTATAACAATTGTGTTCTGGAATGAAATCCATTGTTATGCTCAGATGATGAAACATTTATTAGACAACTATGCTATCAAAGCTCATAGACAAAAGCACAAGTGGAAAAGTACGTACAGCTGTAAGCGACCTAGATTTTTACCCATGGCAAAGACCCATTCGTTTCTAATTCCCGTTTTCATTTCCTTTGCTGCATCCCTCTGGCCACCAAATTAACTCTGTCCCTTCATTCTAGAACCGTAGACGTTTTTCTTCAGCCTTTTTAATTTTCCAAATGTTAGTTAGCAGTGAAGCTCTGCCCAAACCAGATGTTCAGGATGCACTTGGGGTCATCTGCCGGTGCCCCCAGTGTTCTGGAAACAAACCTAACTTGGTCAGAGAACATCAGGAGGCATTCTCTTCCCTGGTAAGGTGAGTCTGGGTTTCTGCTACTTTCTCCACATGCAATCTGAGGCAGGAGGAGGAGGACAGAACTTTGTTCTCTTCCAAATTAAATGCCCCGGGAGGGTTTTCCACATGAGAGTGTCCAGTCTCCTACTGGTCTCCAGGCCAGAAGCCCAGGCCTGCATGACAAGCAGCCAGCCAGGACTGACCCCCTGCTCGACTACCTCAGGACAGCAATCAACACTGTATTGCTCACATAGGCTGCGTTTCCATCCATGATTCTAACGCCTCTTCTCAGAGCTGCCTCATCTACATCCAGATTTGGATTCAGACCTAACCTCACTCGCAGCTCCATCCTCAAACTGGCCATGGTGGACCCCTAGAAAAGCCCAGGTCTCACCTCTTCATGTCTGCCTTGCTCTTGTTCCTGTTCTTAGCTCTCAGCTGGGATCACAATATCTTTTGCCAGATCTTCACCCAGGTGGGTTCCAGCCTTCTCAGAACGATCCAGAAAGGGTGCCTGGTTCTAGGACAGAGGGTGAACATTCAGTGAAAAGCTGAAATGCTTCTGTGTCAGAGAAAGAACTGTTCTATATGAGGATGTGTTAAGAATAAAATCCTATTTTTATAGTTTAGCTCAAATTTTATTATTATCAATATGAATCTTATTTTATTTCTTCTCCTTTCTTATTTTTATAATCTCATCTTCTTGTCATGAATCCATGAGGTTTTTATTATATCCTTTCCTAGGCTCTTGATTTAAATATACTAATACCACTTATGTGAATTTTTGTGTTTAAAAAAGATTACTGTAAACAAATCTAATGTAGAATTTTAAAGAGTCTCAACATGGCATTTTTGTTCCTTGCAAGTATTTGTTCTATAATGGTACAATCATTAGTTTTCATTTATATACTCAATTCTACTTTTTCCTTTTTTATTCCACTTTTTTATCTACCTCCCTTCTCAATCTTACAAATTTTAATGTATTCTCAATTAGGCTGTGTGTGTGTGTCTCTTTTTTTTTTTTTTTTTTTTTTTTTTTTTTTTTGTCTTTTTCCTGGTACAGTAGAAAAGCAAGATGGTACAGTAGAAAAGCAAGAGCAAAGAAAGGAAAAAAGAAAATGCCCTTTATTGCAGGTGCAGGAAGGCTGCAGTAGAGTCTAAGATCCCCTCAAGACAGACAAAGAAGCCAGGGGCTTTTAATCAGTTTGACAGGGGTGGAGTTTGAAAGTGTGGGCAGAGTGACTTACAGGCAGGTGATTGAGGGCTGAGTATATAGCTCAGTGGTATAAGTGCCTGCCTAGCAAGTATGAGGTCCTGAGTTTCATCATCAGTACAAAAAAAAAAAAAAAAAAAAAAGAAAGAAACAGACAGACAACTGATTGGGGGAAGGCTGGCGTGTTGGCAAAAAATGAGTTCAATTTTGGGTTTGCAAGATGAAGGCAGAAGTCAGTATTGAAGGGAGGTGCTGCCCAGTGCCATGCTGGGCAGGCACCATGCTGAGCCTGGCAGTGCTTCACACAAGCGGAACCCATCATCCCCATCCTTCGGTTTTTAGAGGCAACAACTCTCTTAAACTACTCCTGCAATTTAATCCTTGGGATTACAGCTTGGACCCATGTAAAACCTGGTCTCCACCAGGACACAGAGTTCTCTGGTAGTGAAGGCCTGAAACCTTGATTAAAGAAATCTTGAGACAAATTTAAACAGACAAGGAGCTATAAGCAAAAAAATAGCAAATAGTATGAGGGGTCCCACCAAGGGGAGAAGATGGGAGCAGGTGTCCCTTTTGTTTTTGTAATAGCAGCAGTTAGGACTTTTTTACATATATTATGGTGATTTATTTTTAATTGCCCATAACACTTGCTATTTACTGGGATAGCTAGAAACTGCCAGAAGAAGTCAAAAGATTGGAACCCCTTGATGGGGAGGAACAAAGATGGCAGATAGATAACAACTGGCTACAGAAGCTCCCTGAGATAGTCAACTTAGAATTCAACATAATAAAGACTGGGGAGCCCCAAACAGAGGGAGATAAATTCTCTCATCCCAAGAAGAAATTAAGGCAACTTGCTGACCATCTGAGGTCCCACAGCAACTGGCTGATGCTGTGACTTGCCAGGGTCCTGCCACGGCTGGTCAGGTCCTGCCGCGACTTGCCAGGGGTCCTGCTGCAATTTGGCAGGGTCCTGCCATGACTTGCCGAGTGGTCTGAGGTCCCACCACTTTGACTCACTGGAGGCACAGTTACATTGAGATTGAAGGTCAGCAAGCCGAATGGAGAGCTGAGTTGGTGGGGAGCCTACATTGACCTGTGGTGAGTGAGGAGAGTGGAGCCATTCCATAAATAGCAGGACCCAGGAGGATGGCATTCTAGGATCAGGCAGAACTGGAAAGTACAAGGGGCAGCAGTGACTTCAGTCAATTGTTCCCTTCCTGAACGGGATTGGTGGAGTCAGCTACACCTGAGTCACGTGACGTGGCTGAGACCCAATAGGTTATCCGAGGTCAAGTCCCTGAAGCAGTGGCACCCAATAACCACACTGGCCCAGTGGAGCCTCAGAGGTTTGGCTGGTCCACAGGGAGGCAGCACAAAGTAATAGAGTAGTGCAGGCCACAGCATCTTGACTAATCTGGAGGGGAGGGGCCAGCATACCCTGTCCCTGTCTGCAACTCACTAACACATGGCAGTGTGAAGCATCATCTAGCCAGCATGCTTCAGAAGAATTGTAACCAACAAAGAAAGAAACTGGGGCCTCCCAGAAAAAGCAAAAAAAGATGGGAAGAGGAAGCAAAAAAAGATGGGAAGAGGAAGCAACAACAAAAAGTCCCCAGGCCCCAACCCTGAGAACATTGACCCAGGACAGGTAAATACAAAGGAGAATGAGAACATCAAACATGCAATATCAGACACAGTGCCAGTGGACATAAAGAGATATATTCAGGACCTCATAGACGAGTTCAAAAGTGAGGTATTTAGCCAAATAAAGCAAGATATAAGAAGATTAATAAAAGAGGTACTAAGCACCCCTCAAGCAGACACAGACAGAAGAAGGGAGGAACTCAAACACAGGAGAGAACCATTTGGTGACGAATATAAAAAAAGTATAGAATACATGAAGCAGATTCAAAGAGATCACCAGGAAATTAAAAACTCTATGGAAATATGGCAAATCAGCTTGAAAGAAACTAAGGATAGATTATCCAAACTGGAGGACAATTTTGCAATGTGGGAATATGAAAGGGAAATTTTTTTTAAAATAACAAGGAAACAAGCAGTAACAACACAAAGGCTAGAAGATGACAAAAGGATCTATAACTTGAGAATAGAGAATGTAAATGAAGAAGCTGGGATACAAACAAAGGAACTACAAAGGTTATTCATAGAAATAATTAAGGAAAACTTCCCAAACATAGGAAAAGGAAATGATATTCTGATATATGAGGCATACAGAACTCCAGCCATCTACAACCAAAACAGAGTTATACCCAGGCATATAATAATCAAAACCTCAGAAACTCAATATAAGAACAGAATATTAAAAGCTGTTAGAGACAAGAAACAGATAACCTGCAAAGGAAGGCCCATCAGAGTAATGGCAGACTTCTCGACACAAACCATCAAGTCAAGAAGAGCCTGGAGTGAAATATTCCAAGCCCTAAAAGAAAATAACCTCCATCCCAGATTGATGTACCCTGAAAAACTGTCTCTAGAAATTAAAGGAGAAACAACATGCTTCCAAGACAAAGAGGAACTTGGGAAATTTGCAACCACCAATCCAACTCTACAGAGAATACTGCAGGGCATTCTAGAGAGAGAGAGAAGTACTAGGATTCCAGCAACAGTGGCAGAGAGGCCTCAGTGAATGAAACAGAAAACAGAATGAAGAAGATAAGCAGACAAGTGATGGCAAAGAAAGAGCATAACATAAATGGGGCAGAGGATATTTTATTCAAAACTGATATGATTGATAGTATCAAGTCTGAGAGTATAGGCAACTACACTGAAGATGACAAGACTCTCCGATACACATTCTGGTTTGATAACTGCCGGTTTTTGAAGTTCTATACTATATACAAAGTTGTGTTTTTATCAATACTGCTATGTACTGACATATTCAATTATACTATGTCTGATGATATAGCCAATTCTATTGGCGATAACAAGAGACAACACAGGAACTATGGTAGAACAATTCATACAGCAGTCTTATATGTTTATTTCATTTCATGCATTTATCGGAATATGTTTTGTTTTGCCTTGCTTTGTTTTGTTTCTCCCTCTAATATAGAAAGGATAGAAATACATGTTAAGACTCGTGCAT